CCTGCTGACACTGTTCGTTTATCTATGTCCCTTACAATGCCAACTGGTGTGCCTGGTGCGTTAGGTGTACAGCAGATGTTTTCTTTTAGCCAGCTTGCTGTGCTAGGAGAGTGACCATGATTATAAGACTTTCACTCTTTTCAGAGTGTATTAAGTCGATTGAAAAGAAGAGCAGAAAAACTCAGGCTTTCCACTATTGTTCTTCAATTTTATTTAGTTAAAAGTGAAAAGATTACTTAATATTTGTGTGGTGTAATAGGATGCTAATGTAAAGAAAAGTGGGTTGTGACTTTTTATTAAATCTCACGTGACTTGCAGTTACTCAGTTCAGGCTTATTTAAAACAACCACATTTTCCTTCATGGTTTTGTATGACTTAAATAGGGCTAAAATATTGTCAGCTGTTAAACTTTCATCAGGACATACTGAATCCACCTCATCAGGAATAACATGCTGTATGTGTTTGAGTGGTGTTTGTTGGTCTATATATGGAAAGCTTTTATCTCTTAATATCTTATTTCCTAATCCTGTTGCTCTATGCAGTAACATTTCATAGCTCTGTCCACAGCTGAGAGAGACTTTGATCTCTACCGTGGTAGAAAATTTTGTACTACTTTTCCCACACATGCGGTTTCTGTTACCTCTTACTACTTTCTCTGATTTTTAAGCTAAAAATTTCAAGCTGTACAAATTTAAAGGAGCCTACATAATTTTTTCTAAGTTTTGAACTATGTAACAGACTTTTGAGAATGCTACCTCCCTTTTCCAGGTGCCTTTTGCCTTTTATTGCTTTTATAATTTTTTTTTTTGTTCCAATAGCCTGTTACTTTATTTTTGTGGCCACTTTTTTTTCACTTGGTATTTTAGTTTTGAGCATGATTGTGCTGAAGTAAACTGTACATAATCCATAAGATTTCTTCATCCCTCCCATATATATTGGTCATAGTGTCTACTTTCAGAGGGTTTTTTTGGCAGTTTGAGGATTTTTTGTGTAATTGTGGCCATTTATTGAATGGTATTTTCCAAAGGATATATCTCACCTGAGATTCTTGAATATGATTTCACTGGAGAATGATGGTATTTTTAGCTTTCAAGGCTTGCGAAACTTCCTGTCACAGTCTGCTGGTGCCTTGCCCCTCCTGCATTTTTAAGTGGAAATGTTCTGAACAAGGGGGAAGTGTACATTAAACTGCTTTTGTCTTAACAGAGGACATCAAGGTTGGTTGCACATGTGCCGTGTTACAGTTCTACCACATTTTCAGAAAGGGCTATAGTTCCTTTAAAGAAATGTACTGTTCTCTTAAATTTAAGACGGCAAAGACAAGCTGCAAAAGTGCAGTCGATATGAAAGTGCACTCCTATGATCACTGCTGTTTGGGATGGCAGTCATCAGTGCTCTAAAACGACGTGTATGGATCAGTGCTAGCTAGCAATTTCCGAAGGGATTCAAGTAATAATGTTGGGGTAATGGAAGAAAATACTCTCTAAAATTCAACTCCAGGCATCTTATACTTCAGATTTTCCATGATCCCTGTATAAAACAAAAGCACACATACAAAAATACAGCGACTAGCCCTCCATGTCTGAAATGTCTAATACAGCCTTGAAAAACAACTGTGAAAAGGATGTGCTTATATCTGGCTCCCCACCCTCCTTCCAGAGGAACAGGGAGAGGCACTTCTTGTCCAAATTAAGAGATGCAACGACTTCCTGTACGACTGCAACGATATAGATTCATCTGCACTAGTTTTATTTAGGCAAGCAAAAGATTTTTCTTTCTTGTTTCAGAAAAGATCCTTTAGCTCTTTGAATCTCCTTTGTTATAGGTTTTAACTTGAGCTATGTTAAGCTGAGAATGCTTAAAAAGATCTTTTGTTTTGTTTCCAGATAATATGTTAAAGTTGATATTTTTTGTGGTAGATCTTTTGCTGAAATCTCATAGTCTGTGCTGAAGAACTCACTTCTTTTAAAGGAAAAAATTATGAGACATTTAATTTGAGTTGCTTTTATGAACTGTAATGTTTTCAGAGCTATTATGCAAATAAATTGTCTGGAAAAATCATTGTTTATCCCAACCATGTTTAGTTGCCAAAGATTCTTATACTCTTGGCATTTGAAAGGGTAAATATATTTGTATTACAAGTTACTGTTGGCTCTAAATTTCTAAAATCCTTTAATGATATGACCAGTGTATCAGACAAAACTGTGTATTTCCAGTTGTGTAAACAGAAATGTCTTTCATCAGTTTCAGCTGCTGTGCTGTGAAGTTATCTTCTGTGTTGCATTTTGTGCCTTTTGTACATAGCTCTGTGTGGGTTGGGGTTGTTCCTGGATGCATTGCAGCATCAGAACGGACAAAAGAGCTTTGCATACTGTTGAATTCAGACATCTGGCATTTGCCATTTCTGTTGCTCTTCCTTTATGCCATCAATACCTGTTTAGCTGACAACTTGAGTGTTTGCAAAACCATTTGTTTCTCTATGAATTTGAATGCACTTCCTTGCAGACAAAATGTGCATACGTAAAAAGCTGATGTTGGCTGCTGGGTTTTTACAAGATCAGCTTTTAATATTGCCCTTTTTAACAGTAGCCTGCACGTGGCAGATAACTCTGAAATCTTGTTTTCACAATCTCCTTTGTTTAGTTGTACTTCCCACTGCAGTGATATTTATGACTGCATTAGAAAGAATAAAAAGTTATACTCCCCAGAATGACTGATAAACAGCTGTTTCATAAATGCCTATAGCATATGAACCATATTCTAATGTTTTTCAGCCTTTAGGCAGGTATTGATTCAAATGTGAATTCATTGCTCTAGCTGCACTAGAGTTAAAAATAGCTTGTGTCAGTGAGCCTAATTGTCTGGCATATAGTCACAGCTTTTGATGTTGGAGATTGGGTTTTTTTTTTTAAAGACTTATTTTTTCATAAGAATGCAGTTATCTTTAGACTTTATTAACAAGATGTTAGTGGCTTCCTAGTCCATAACAGTTAAGTAATTCAACAAAACTTGGAGTTAGTTTTTTTCTTTTTTGCCTGTTTGAATAAATTGCCATCTGTGTAAATGTATTTTCCATTTCAGTTGCAGATCGCCTGGGCTGTGACCCTCGCACGCGTTTCCAAGTTCCACCAAACACCAAGCAGTGGATCGCTTTACTACAGCGAGGAAACTGTACATTTAGAGAAAAAATACTGCGAGCAGCTTCACATAATGCCACAGCTGTGGTCATTTACAACAATATATCCAGTGAAGAACCTGTCACGATGACTCATCAAGGTAAATAAAATGTAATCTCTTTCACTATTTTTTTTTTTTTGCCCAAGTACTCTTTTGCCATATAAACAATTGTCAAAGAGCTCTTGGCAGTGCAGAGATGCTATTTGAAATAGCCTGTTCTCTAATGATGTTTACATGTATGCAATATAGCAAATTAAGCCAATAATTCTGGAAAGTTATTTTCCTTTAGCATACACTTTATCCAATGAGGAATGCTCTCCTCTACAATGGGGAAATGGGTGTTTTGGAGTGAGGAAATACCTGTAGGATCTTAGGAGCAATCTGTTTCAAACCTTTCTGAAGAGGAAAAGCTAATATATAATGAAAGGTCTGGAATTTTACAGAGCATCTGTACCTGAAGAATTTTTATAGTAGCGTGTCTTCAACTGGCTGTTATGGTGGGGACTTTCAAATGTTAAGAGTTGTATCAGGATCTGAGCTTGCATATGCTTTTTCTTTAAATGGCAGTTTACAGAGGGTTCTCATTGTATGATGTGTCTTTGAGTGCCATACAGGCATCAACAAAACTTACTGATTTGGAGAGCCGTTGCCTCTGTAAGTTGTCTCGAATTAGACTATTGCTGGTCTAGAATAATGCTGAAAATCTGAATTTCTACAGATTTCTACTTTTTTAGGGCTATCTGTGTAAAATATTGCTGTTACTAGTGAGTTATTTTAGCCATTGGGAGCCTCATATGTAAACATTTTCCTTGGTTAATAAAGAGTTTCACAATTCTGATAACTACATTTTTCATTTTCCCAGAAAGTTTTCTCAATTTGGAGTTATTTAGTTTAATTGAAAAAAGGCATATTTCTATATTTGATGGCTGTACTGCTGCCTGATTTTTTTTTTTTTCCTAGAATATTTTCAGTCCTTCTTTTAAGTACAGAGGGTTGCTTGGAAACTGGAACTTCCTAATTATTGCTCTGCATATTGTCACACAGTTAGAATTTAATTCTTTTACTAAAAAAGTGCTATGGTTGCTTCTCTCTTTTTTTTTTTTAATGCTGGAAATGTCTTGTGGCTGCTTCTGGTTTAGTGGGGTTTGACAGTCCCAATTCTGAACACCACAGGAATTTTCCAGGGAGATTTTGACCTCTGTATAGCAATTCAAAGCCTATTGTCAATCCATTTTTATCTTAGGTACCTTCCTTAAATGTTTTTGCAAGTAACCTGGAGGCAAAAAGTCCCATATTCTAGTGAAAAACTTTTTATCACCTTCCTTTTTTTGTTTTGTTTGTTTTTTAATTTTTTACCACATCTCTCTCTACTGATGTAGAACCGTCCTAAACCTTCAACTCTGATGTCTCTTTGAAATACCTGTGTGATGGGTTGGCCCAGCACAACCTGTAAGATTGTAGAGTCTGCAGTCTCTGTTTAACAAGGATTTGTGACTTCTCCTGTGGCCTGGAATACTTTATTGTGGCAGAAAAAAAGACGACTAATAACAATACAGCTCTAGCATTGTTTGCTCTATTACATATTAAATCATAGAATCATTATGGTTGGAAGAAACCTCAAAGATCATCAAGTCCAACCGTATACCTGATGCCACCCTGTCCACTAAACCATGTCTTGAAGTGCCACATCTAAATGTTTTTTGAACATCTCCAGGGACGATGACTCCACCACCTCCCTGGGGAGCCCGTTCCAATGCCTAACAGCTCTAACAGTGAAGAATCGTATAATGGGTTTTGTTATAGCTAATACTTTCTTTCTTGTAATGCTGTTAGATTTGGCAGGTGCTTTCATAGCAATGGGATGATGTCTGTCTTTCATTAGGAAATTCTAGTTCACTCTGTTTCAGCTCTGAAGACCAGTGTGTGGCCTTTGACACTATTATTGCTAAGTCCAATGGTTCTGGTAGGTTGAAATGATGTCTCAAGTTATAAAATGTGAGGGCTGCTGTGGGTAGAATGGTGTCTTGTAAGCTAGCTGGGCAACTGTTTGGATACTTGATGTTTAGAAAAAAGCTAATACTCTCTTCAGCGTGTTCATACCCAAATATTTAGTCTTACTCATGGCAAGCTTTAAAAAAAAAAAGTAATTACTTGAAATGATGTGTATTTTATCTTTGAGTAGTTGAGATACTGTTTTTTAGCTGCATGTACTCAGTCCCTGGTATACTGGAATCTCTGTCACTGATTTGGGCTGTAGGCACTATCTCAAAATTAATATTGGACTTGAAGCATGCAAACTATGTGACAGACTAAAAGTAATTACCTAGAACAGAAATGCTACCTTAGCACCACACTGTAATGAAGAGGAATGTTGCTCCACATTTTGTTTTGATTGCATTATGGTCATGCAAGGGATCTCCTTAGCAATCTGCGCTTTGCAGAGTTTCCTATAAATAACTTCCTGTTGGCTTGATGTAGGAACTGCAAGTGTGTGTAACTGAGATGTAGATTAGTCCTTTGGTGTTAGCCTCAGTACAGGGAAGGTTTGGAATCCAGCACTCCCTTTGGTGAGAATTGTTCCAAATAGGGGGATGATTCATGAGCCTATGCTTAGGTGATGAGCTTATTCAAACAAATGTTGTGTGTGTAAAGCAGTCTTGCACACATTCAAGGCACTCTCTGGTCTTCCTTTTTCTGGCTTTTCAACCGTATCACTGCTTATGTGCTTTTTAGATGGTGAATGGCCAAATCATCTGCTAACTAGATATTCCAGTGCAGTCTTCTCTTTAGTATGTTCTATCCCTAAAGGTCAGGAGGAGTTGACCCTGTGTATTTGATAGCTGTTCTGCTGCTGATTGAGTTAAATATGTGTTAAATAGAGTCGATATAAAGTGAAAATGAACGTGAGCCACCAAGTCGGTCTTACTTCCATATGATGTCTGGTGCTGTGCAGTATTACTCTTTTCTTTTAAATGTACATTCTTCACAAGACAATTTTGCAACCGTCTTATGACCACCAGGTTCATGGCTGTACATTTTTTTCCATAGACAGGTGAAAATAGACCTTTTATTATTTTATGTCACTGTAACATAATTTTTATACTGCTGCGTACCAAGCCTTAGGAATATTCTGCCTTCACGGTGAAGCAGAGACGAAAGCAGCAACTGCTGATAATGCACGCTCTGCGAACTGCAGGCTTTCCTACTTTGATATTTTCATGAATTCCAATCACCCACTTAGGCTATGTCTGTGCTAAAAATAAATAAGTAGAATATTATATAGATTTATGTATGTTGACCACCTGCAGAGAGGTGATTCCCTATGAAAAGAGCTCAGTAAGCAGTTCTCACCTATGGGATTAATATTTTATCCAAATTATTTTATGCTTGAACACACATTTGAAAATTTTAATCCTGTGGAAGTTTTTTTATACTCAGCATGTTGCTTAGCAGAATATAAATTCCTTCTGGTGGCTAGATAACAACTGTCACTCTTGAATCAATCTATCATCACCATGTCAAATGAACAGTTTCTATTGCTAATATCAGAATTTGCTTTTTCTTGTGTCTTAGTCCACTAAGTCTCTGCCCCTTGGAGTTCCAAAATGAGTTTTAAAGTAGGTATTGACCTTAAGGAGTTGGTGAACTTAAAAAAAAAAAAAAAAAAGTATTTCTATTAATGTTATTTGCGACATTATTTTCTTCTCTCTGTGTATATCCTTGTATGTATTTCTATGTGCATGTAAAAAACTTGTTTTACACGTTCTTATAGATGTCCTCTATCAACCTAAGCGAAGGACATCTTTCCCAGCACAGGTTATGGTAGACTGTGATATCACTGGCAGGAAGGCAGTTTTATGAGTGGTTTTGCTTGCTACTTCTGTTAAAGCAGAACAAATATTGTCTAATGTAAAAAAGAGCCTGTGTGGTAGAGAAAATATGTGGTAGCTGTCTCCTTTATAATCAGTTATGGGAATAGGAAGGAAATGCAAGTAAAATAGCATTTTAATTATTTTTTTGTTTGTGTGTGGTGGAGACAGTCCTGTCAAGTACAAAATAGTTAAATTTGATATTGAACTTCTCTATTCAAATCTAGACTTTTATTTGGATTTGTAGGAAAGAATATAAGCCAAAGAAACCTCTAAAGTTAAAATTTCGCACTCAGAATTTATGGAATAAAGATAGAAAAAGATAAACAAGTATAGGAGAGAGTATCAAAATGAAGTTGCTGGATTCCAATAACCACTGTTTATCAGTGCTGAAGAAACTTCCTGAAGTATTTAAACAACTTCTAATATAGTCCCTTTTTCAGAGGATTTACCTGTGTCAGGTAAATCTCTTCAAGTCTTTAGAACAAGCTGCAGACATCTCATCAGGATCAATCTTCATTGCACTTCTAAAGAAACAACGCCTTCGGTTTCTGCGAGAAGGTGTTTCTGTTCCGTGATGTGCGCAAAGGCGATGTTCTGCTGCTGTAGTGCTTGCTGTGGGAGAGCCGCCCAACCCTGGCTCCCAGAAACAGTTTGCTTTCAAGGGGAGGATTTCTCATCGCCCTGTATTCGCTTAAAGAGCATACTAGCCCAGGGAGCAGGGTCTGTACTTGCTTTGAACTATGATAAAACTGAATGTATTTTACGTGGATTATTTTAGGTCAGTGGGTCAGAGGCAAGAGGGACAAGAAGTAATTTGAAGTTGTTGCCATCTAATGGCTATTCCATGTTCTTGCCCTAATTCGGGGCGAGTAGAGATGACTGCAGAGATCTGGCAGTCAAAATACCATCCTCCTCTGTTGTGGCATTCTCACTGCGTGCAGCACATCTCTTCCTCTGCTGCTTGCCTTTTTCTCACAAATGTCTCTTTATGTAACTGTAAGCTGAACTGATGTGTGAAAGCTATGGCAGGGTGTGTTGCAGATTATTTTGCACAAATACGTGCTGATGAATATTTTGGCTGTATACCAAATCCACTGCAAAACTTTCCCTGGATTACTGAAACCTACTTTTAATCCACAGCTCAAAACTAATTTTATTGTATATTACAATATTGTTATTATAATTTATTATTATTAGTTTGCCCTGGAAAATTAGTGAAAAGGAAGG